TTATGTGTATTTTAAAATATTGTAAATTGTTTGTATATCTTAAAATACTCATAACTCACTTTAAAATTAAAATATAATAAAAAGCCTACGAGATGCCCTCAATAATAATGTTACCTTTAATTTTTGTAGGAGGTCAATTTACTCTAAATTTTAAACTAACGGAGCTAAACGTGATCTGCTGAGAATAAAATAAGACAACATATGCGGGTGTAGCGTTCTCTTAAATTTATAACCATTAATTATAGTAATCTTTATGGATATGGAATCAAGATCAACATCATTAATTACATGACTATATAAATATTAGTAATGAATCATGATCAATTACTATTAGTTATAAGTGTTTAACCACAACTATGATTTAGGTTTAGGATATATCTTAAATCATGACCACGACGTAAAGAAGTGTTTTCACCTAACAACAAACGTTGCACTGGTATACTGGATATTACAATTTAAAATTTCATAGTTTAAGAGGACGTGAATTTTTACGCTCAGCAGAACACGTGTAGTTTGTTAGTTTAAAAATTAGAGAGAAATAGAGAATCAACCTCTTATGAGTTATGTAATTTTAATGGTAAGAATATTATCTATGTAATGTGTTTTTAATCTTTTTTATGATAATATAGTTTCTTAGTGAGTTAGGTATGGAGCAATTTTGATTATTGCTATATTATGTAGTATAGGTACGCACAACTTCAAGTCCGACTTGCTAATCTTCTCTGTATCGTTCCAATTTTAGTATATTATATATTTACTGCCGAAGCAAGTACATCTTAAGACTTAAGTTGTACCAAATGCTGCTTATACATATTATATGATTAAAGCTGCTATTTCGAAAATTTTGCATGCCACCTGTTTTATATACATACACATCATAAAATAGTGGAAAAAATTCATGGAAAATTCAATAATGTAGACGCACTAATGTCATATGTTGAAAAATATTTTTGAAAGCCCCATCACGTTTAGAGATTTTTAAAACAGAAGCCTCTGGTTTTTCTCTTCCACTGGTTCTCATAATAACCAGTTGAGGAACGTAGATACAGGCGGCATTTTACTACTCTGATAATATTACAACTTACAAGTATACAAAACGTATTATCAAAATTGAATCCAGATAACGCAGTTTCAATCGAAAGTATTAGTATTATGGTGGGCCATGGCTGAACTTAGTAAACGGACAATTATTGGTATCTGGACAATATTTTTTAAATAGCTATACTACGGCCTATACGGATAAGTAAACAGGGTGTAACATAAAGACTTAACAAAAAAAAAAATTATGCCAATTCATCGTATGACAATTTTTTTTAAATATCAGGTATATATTAAATAAATAATTTAAAAAATATACTCATGTCAGCAAATTCTCAAAAATCGTAATTTTTAAAAAGTTATTGCGTTCCAAATTAATTTAACAAAAAAAAAATATTGAACTTTAAAAAAAATTCCAAAAAATAAACAACTTGACTTAGATAAATCTTTTTAGCATCAAAATTGTTTTTATAATCAGATTCACAAATCGGCTATTTTGAATTTATCCAACATTTTTTTTATTAAATTATTATTATTTTTTTTTTCAATAAGTACTCAAAAATAAAATAAAAAAAAATGTTTTATGTATGTAGTGCTAGGTTCAATTAATGAATTAATTTTTTATGAATTTCTAGCTTAAACTAATTTGCGAATTTTCGTGATTTTCATGTATGTTGTCAAACTTTGAATGCTTGTAAAAAAAATGGTGACTATGTATTTATTTTATTTTTAACAGCTATTGTAAAAATATGTTAGGAGCCTTGTATTACATTTTAAAGCTGTTCTTCCCAACAAATACATTTTTATCAAAATATTAATTTAAAATAACTAATAATGATCGAAAAATGTATATGCCGTCATGCCGATAAATACAGGGTGCGGCAGTCAAACCCGACGATTTTAACAAGAATTGGTGGGCAGGGTTAAAGTGGTAGAGTTTTCGGGAATGTTCTTAATTCTTATCGCTTTTAAATACTCGGAATTTAGTAATCATGGAGCATTGGTCGAGTGAACAGCGTGCGTTTGCGATAAAAGCGTATTACAAAAGTAATGATAGTTTCGTAGGAGCTCAACGTGCGTTTCGCCGACAGTTTGGTTTATCTCCTCGCGATTCTGTGCCTTCTCGTGGTACCATCGACCTGTGGGTAAAAAACTTTGAAACCACAGCTAGCACGACTCAAAAGAGAGGCGGTAGTAAAAAAACTAGACGGACTCAAGAAAATGTAGAGCGGGTGAGACAAGCAGTAGGGAGAAGTCCCCGAAAGTCAGACTCTCACAATGTGTGGCTAACCAAGGAAGGCATTTGCTTGACACAATCTTTAAAAAATGAAATTTATAAATATTAAAACATAAAATTCCACTTATGTACTTTTTATTTGTTTGGCGAAAAATTAATAAAAAATTGTTTTTCTATTTTTTTTCTTATTTTTTCAAATCGTCGGATTTGACTGCCACACCTGTAGTTCAACTTAATTCGAAATTTTTCGAAAATTGCATGGTGGATAGAATATACTTATATAAACATTCGATGAAAATTTCATGTATCTATGGTAATTTGTTTTAAAGTTACATCAAAAATAAAATAGATTTTGTCGAAAACTGATTGTTCCTAAAAATTCCCGTTTTTTTCTCAATTTTTAGTTTGTTTATCCCGATTATTTAGAAAAAAATTTACTTTTGACTCCTCAAAGTACCAACTAGATTCACTTTCTAATCGAACAAGGTACTAAAATCGAAAATCAAAGCATTTTCACTGTCCCAAAACTTGATGACAGACACACAAAAAAAAATACACATCATTATAAAATCAATACATTCCTCGCTCCGCTCAGAATCTAAAAAATGGCTTATGAAAAAGTAGTAATAGAAATTTAGAACAAATTTCAGAATATAATTGAAAAAAATAATGGATTTAAAACTGGTATAAATTTCGAAAACACATTCAGGCGAAGTTAAAACTATGGAAGGAATATAAGAAGATTTGAAGTTTGAGGATCTTATTGCATTCTCAATCTCAAATATACTTCAA